GCAGAGCCTTATTTTGGCCAGGCCCTCGCATTTTAGAGCAGGAAGTGAGGCTGCATCCCTGTCCCTCATGGCCACATGGTGAGTAGTTAGATCCCATTGTTTTGAAGTAATGTGTCCCAAAGTCTGAAAATCAGTGTGGAACATTAGGAATTGTCACCTCTGAAACACATATTGAGTGTTTGTATTAGTTAATGTTATTATGTTGTAAAGCTTGTGTCAGGGCTTTAGAACGCACTGCTCCTGTGTGGCCGTCTGGGAGTTTGTCCAGCAGGGGGAGCTATTTATAGTTTTTTTTTTTCAATGTTGTTTCTCAGTATCATTTAATGTGTGTTTTTCATTAAATATTTAAAATCAGCTGCCGTTAGAAACAAAAACAAAAGGAGAATCATTTTAATATGATCGCATCTTGTCATGCTGATTCAAAACTGAGTCGGATCATAAGGTGCCCACAGATTCCTTCTCTGTTTATTTGACCAAAGTTTAAGTTTAAGCAACAAATTAATGCTCACTGTTTCTCAGCCCTTCAGTGCACATAAACATGCTCTCAGTTCTGATGTAAGCAGACTTTAGTATTTAATGTCTTTGTATTTGCACATTACACAGATGCATTATTTTAATAGTAATTTATCACTTCTCATGTTGTCATCATGACACCTGACAGCTTTATTGAACATCGCATTTTATGTCAGTATCATGCAGCCCTAATTTCCATTCTGTGTACGAGGCACCTGAATGTACTGCTGTAGCATTTAACATGGGACAGAAAATTTGAATAAGAAGTTGGAAATAAGAAGCTTAATTGTGTTTATTATTTAAGAGATTTGGTGGTTTTGGGGCCCAGTGTTATTAATTTTTGTAAAACCTCACACATTGGAATTATCTGAACTGATTCGCAGGTTATACGGATACAGTTCATTAATCGAGCATTCTGGTCTGTTTCATCCACCTGCAGGGTTGTAGCTACAGCCACGGTGAGAGATGAGCTCTTTTAGAGTTTCAGCTCACCTCCCAAAATGGCAGCGAGGCGTTCTTAATGACATAAGCGATATCAGTTTATCATGTATTTATCATGTGACGTGTTTTAACTTCTGACAAAGCCAATTAAATAATAATGTTGGTGTGTGTCGACACTCATTAAATCTGACGTTAGTATGAAACGTGCCTTTTATAACAGCAAATAAAACACTGTAAAAATAATAAGTACCTATGTTTAGCCAACGAAAAAACCCTCTAGAGGAAGAAACACCAGCATCAGAAAACCACCAGAAGAAAGGAAGGAAGTGATCTGGTTAATGTGCCACTTTTTGCTCTTCTGTTTTTTCCCCTCAAGATGTTTTTGGAAGCCTTTTTTAAGATACTTGCAGGTGTTTTCTTAGTCAGTTTCTCCAAACACTTGAAACAAACGTTTCAAAATTGATGTACGGTTCTGATAAAACTCGCATCGCATTAACGACATTCTTGGCTCTTAAGGGTACCAAAAGTGGTTTAGGACACTTTATATACTTAATTATGAAGAGTGAACGAAGGTTTATGTTCCAATGAGAGTTTTTGTTTCAGTATGTCAATGAGCTGAATGTTTATGTCAGCCTTACCTGTATTCCATCTTTTGGTGACAGATTGAGAACTTGGTGGTTAGTCTGATTCACAAAATCACAATTTTAAAGCAAATAGTTGCCGTCGGAACAAAACCTCATATCTCCAAAATATTAACTTTAGAAGGAGGAAAAAACATTCAACATTCAGTGTAAATTAATGTGACTAGATTTTATTCTAAGTCATTTTGGATCATTTCTATTGTCGTGAAATTCTGACGCAGTGTAAAGGGCAGCTGGCTTTAAGATTAATTATGTTAGCTTATTAAATCCAGTTGCATTTCAGCAGACATTCTGTGTTAACAGATAACGTTGGATTGTTGTAGACTTCATAATCATTTTTATTTATTTTGTGAGTTCAGACCATGCCTTCAACATGGTGGTGGTAGTATGAGAGAAGACTGATTGAGGGAGGGGGGAGAACTCTGAGAACTTGGGCTGGAGTTCTGGGCAGCTTCTGCCTGTAGCCCCCCTCATATCTGTAGTAGGACTTATGTATTACTGAGGAACAAGGAGGAGATGGGGTGGCGCTGGGGATTGCGAACCATTCGTCATGGGAACGGCAGCATGTAAATGGTAAACAGCAGTGCACCTAAAACTGAGCCCTGTGGAACACCCTTAGTAAGAGAAACTGTAGAAAATGTGGCTTTTTGATCATAGTCAAGTTCTGTTCTCATCACTGTGCTCTGTCTGGATATTGCTTTGTGTTTCTATTATTTTGTTCCTGGATCAAACACAATCACTGCACACAAAATATCACAACTTATGATGCTCTATAACAAGAACATCTTCACATCTGTCAGTACAGAAATCCTTCTTACAGCAGCACAGAAGAGCACACTACACATTCCTGATACAGTATTATTGATTGCATGGATAAAAACCTCTTGATGGTTGCTGTTTATGAAAGATCTACTACAGATTTAACTCAATCACGTAACACATATCCAACCTGGACAATGTATTTAAAAAAAACAGTGAAATAAATAAAAAATCAAAGAATGTTAGAGGATAACTAATTCAATTTAATCAAAATTGTTCTGGGCCTAGCTTCCAAAGTACTGCACTGAAAAGATCATTTAAATTATAATGAAGATTAAACATGTTTGTGCTGCCTTTTGGGTAAGCTCACCCCAGCAGAATCAGTTGCATCATTTTCAGCATAATGCACAGATCTGATTGTTGATATGAGGCAAGAAACCACTTGTGTTGCCCACAGTTGAGCTACACACACACATCTAGCAGGAGATTATTACAGCGGTTAAAAAAGTGTGAAAAAATGTTGAGACAATATTAGGCCCCAGCAACCTGAAGTGTAGTGTTGCCAGATTGGGTAGATTTACGTTGGGTTTGGTGGGGGAGAAGGTTCTTTGGCGGGTCGAGAAAATTTAGGCAGGTTTGTCATTATTTTTGTGGGTTTTTAAAAAAAAAGTGTATCAAATTAATAAACTGCTTTATTTAATAATACAGCTGAAATTTGAAGAGGCCCACATACCCAATCAGATATTAAAACTTTGATTGATGTACATTTTAGGCATTGTTGTTGAGAGGAAGCCGTCGCCCCGCCCATCGGAATCAACATTAGTGTTTATTATACCGAGTTTATCATTAATGTAATGGATGTGTATTCAGGTCAAACAGAATAGATTATTATTATTTGTACACACGTTTCATAGTTGTTTGACATGGATGCTAAAAATGCCATAAAAAGTTTCATTTTCATTTTCATTCATTTTCATAGGATTGTCCTCAGTGAATAACAAACTCACAAGCTTATAGTTGGTGTCATGTTGGTTAAGTGCTGTATTATTTCATGTTGTGGTTAAAATTACCTTAGATCATATGTGATATGCACTTTTTAGGGGTTTTTTTATGCATTTTGGTGGGTTTAGAACATTGTCTAGAAACTACAGAAGCAATCTGGCAACCCTGTCAAAGTGGCGGCCAGTTGCTCTAAAATGCATCGGTAACGTAAACAGGGCACGGCTACTGCACAAAACACACGAGTCTTTCTGTACTTTCGTTATTTTTGTGTTGTTTTTAGCCCTTGCAGTAAAATAATCATAAATCTGAGGCTTAAAAGGCCTTACTGCATCCTGGATATATTAAAAGGCCTTACTGCATCCTGGATATATTAAAAGGCCTTACTGCATCCTGGATATATTAAAAGGCCTTACTGCATCCTGGATATATTTCCCTTACTAAAACTACTACATATGTACATATGACTGTAATCTACTGTTGGGGAAGTTGTTTTTATTCAGGTTCTTATTCAGCAGAGATCAACATTGAAAACTATTCCAATCTGCATGATTAACATGAGTGACATTAAACTGTGAATTTCTCCAAAAGGTGTATAGCCGACAAAAGGCCTATGTGTGAATCAGTGTTTTGTGTAAAATATGAACTGCAGTTTTACATTTACAAGATTCTATTTAGTTTTTCTGTAATGCTGTTGGTAAATAGGAACGAAATGATGGTAGGAACCAAAAGTTCAGAGAGTGGCTTACGATTGGTCTGAGGAATTTGCATGAGACAATTATTTATATTGACGCTTTCACTGCATCGTATTTCATTGGCATAAAGTTGGGAAAATTTTAGCTCAGCTTGTTGCTCGCTGCTGGTCCAAGTCCACAAACTTTATAACTTTAAATAGGAATGGTTGTGCACACCCTGACAGAACCAAAGAACGCTATTGCAAAGAAAACTGTAGAATATATCTTTTTGTTTCTTTTTTCATTTATATTTTTATTATATTTTTCTCTTTTCTAGCCCTGAAGGTTTAAGGAGGGCTGTCACAACCAAAAAAATGTCATAGAAATGATTGCTATTAATGTTTTAATTGTCTTTTTTGTTCACTGTATGCAAGTTTGTACTAACTATAAATACAAGCCTAAAGTGGCCAGATTAGCTAATTGCTTAACGTTGTAATAGTAGCCATGAACCCTTTTTGGTGCTATATAGAACCCTTTTCAAAAAGGTTCTAAACACATTCTCTGTAAATCTGAAGAACACTTTCATGATGCAAAAAAACCCTTTAATCATGACTCTCCCTTATTCTGCTGCACGCATTTGTGATGTGAGACTATTTTTCTATCTGTTTACCACAGATTTTTACATACAATATTTTTGTTTTTTTCTAAGTAAAAAGTAAGTTAACTCAGTGCCTACAGAGTTTTTTCCAGTTGTTTCCAATATGTTAAACTCAGTTAAAATAAATCAGTTAAATAGAAATTGTGCTAAAATTTGCAGATAAATGTCAAACCTAAGTGTGCTCAGTGTAAGGGATGTGTCAACAAAACATGTAATTTGACCAGGGTGCCCAAACTTTTGCATACGGCTGTCGGTGTGGTTTTTAGCATTTCATTGCTGATGAGTGACTTTTTTCTGCTCTCTTTTGCAATGTAGGCTGATCAGCTAACAGAGGAGCAGATTGCCGGTAAGACATTTTCTGATTTAGTAGTAATTATTATAAATGTAGATAATATTTACAGGGGAGTCCACAGGTCTGAGACCACACTGAACATCTGGAACTGTGTTCATATAATCCTGAGAATAAAATATAGATTTATTAAATTAAAAGTATTGTTAAAACAAAGAAAAGTTATGAGAATTAAAATGAAGAAGAAATATTCAAGATTCTGCCCATTTCTAGGTCAACATTCAAATTTAGCGTATTAGTGAAACTGATCATGTTGAGACCTTTTAACAAAAAGCTCAGATGTTTGTTTTTTTAGTGTCTTCCAGTGAAGCTTGTGTTCAGACAACTCTCAGGTGGGTTTGATCTGCAAATCAGAGGCTTTTACACACCACCAAATATTAAGAAATTCTGAAATTCAGGTTAAAATCTAAAAGATTCTACATTTCACTCAGATTGGTATGCTGATAATGGAATTTGTAATGAAAAACTTTGTATTAAATTTAAAAAGAAAATATAGGCATGTATTGAAAATAGAGGCATGTAGAAGTGAACCATATGGCAAAATGTAATATCACAATACTTGTGTAAGTAAAAAAAATTATGATACACAATGTGTCATGATATCAGATGTCAAAAAAAAGTTAGAATAAACAAAGTAATGCCACAGTTTAAAAAAAAAACATGAAAATGTATGAATTCAGTTACTTGCATTAAACATTTCACACACTGTGCTGCACTAAATCCAATCAAACAGGACTAATTATGCTCTCTTTGTAATCAGACAGGCAGTTGATAAGTGGTTTTTAAGTATTGACCGTTTCCACCTTATCTCAGAAAAGCATATTATGATATAATTTATCCCAGTAATGATAAATATTGACATATTGCCCGGCTTTAGAAGCACGCTAGTCTCAGACTTTTGGACTCCACTGTTGTTCTGTGCACTCTTTCCGTACACAATGAGTGATTCTTTGTTTGCCTTTTGTGCAGATGTGCTGAAAAAATGGTGAATTTACTTGATACAGATATATCGGCTGGACACATTTGAATAAAAAATGTCACATTGACACAATTCAAAAGTTGATTTAAAGCACAATTTAATATATTTAATACAAGATAAATGCATAAAACAATTCTATTAAGATGCTACAGCCTCACAGCTTTCAGATAATTAGTATGAAGTAAATAAAAATGTCTGAGTCCAGAATGAGGAACCGAGCTGTAGAAGTTGTTTTAATAAAATTAACATCTAGAATTAATTATTATTATTTAAAAGAGGTAATTTATCCATAAACTTCTGTAATAAATAATTACAGTATGTTATTTATCGCTTAATCACTTCTGAGAGTTTCCTAAAACTTAAAACATTGAATAAAACATCTTAAAATGCTTTCTGGTGTCTAGTTTACAGTAGTTTAGTCTGTACAGTGTATGATATTATATAAAGTCAGCAGCAATTATTAATACTAGTGATTTCAAACTTCTGGAAGTTAGTGAATTCTGTTATGTATTAGTTTCACAGTAGCTTAGCACATAGGAAATCCTATTTAGCCAGTATAACACATAAAAACATAAAAAACAACAAATAAATAACATATTGAAGCTTAATTAGACAGTCATATGCAAAAGTTTGTGCAGCCCAGTCATATTAGTAAGCAATATGCCATTTCATTATTCTGCACATTTTAGTGCACAATTTCTATTTATTTCATCACATTGTAAAAAACATAAAATCTAAAATGTGCCATAACTTTTGATTAGGTCACATTTTGGGTTTTATTTTCCCCAATATGTTAAATTCAGTAAATAAACATTAATTGTGCCTTAAAATGTGTTCTCTGTAGAGAATGTTTTAACTTATTTTACCTAAACTTTTGCATATGACTGTGTGTATACAGAATAAAACGATCGGCAGAGAAAACACATAGGACTGTTTGTGTAAATATAAACTGAAAAGAGCGAAACAGGAAAATATAAACAAAGTGAATTACATTAATACAGCCAAAGACATAATAGTGTTACGATATTTTTTATTAATATATAATAATGTGAACGTTTGAAACAGGGAAATTTAATGTATTATTAAATTGAATGCATTATTATTGCACTACAATTATGATTTTTCAATGTGCAATATACAGTGGGGTCCAGAAGTCTGAGAGCACTGGTGAAAATGCTTCTATTCTGCATTCCTTTCTAACTGAATACAGTTTTTCATTACAAATTGTATTATAAGCAAAACAATCCATGCGCAAATCAGAATTTCAGAGTATTTGGTGGTGTGTCCCCCCTTTTGCCTTAAAGACAGTGTGCATTTGAGCTGCGTGGACTCCACAAGTTTATGTAAAAGCTTCAGATCCACCTGAGAGTCCTCTGAACACGAGCTTCCCTAAAAAAAAAATGTGAGCTTTAAATTAAAAGGCCTCAAGATGGTCAATTTCATAAATCTGCTTATGTTCTTTGTTTTATTTTTTTTTCAAGATTTAAAAATATTCTTTATTTCTAGATTTGAAAAAAAGCCAGATTTGTAATGTGGTCTCAGACTTTTGGTCCTCACTGTATCTTCAGAAAAAAACGACTTCTTACTGTCTTTTGTTCTGCGTTAGCGCGCGTGCCGTTCTCTGCTGTGATAAGCGTTAGCTGGTAATGTATTCAGCTGTGACCCAGTTCGGCGGCTGCTGTGTGCTGTTGCTCCGCTGCGTTTGTGTCTCTGAACTGTACACTTTAACCCTCTTCTCTCTGCTCTCATCTAGAGTTCAAGGAGGCTTTCTCCTTATTCGACAAGGATGGAGATGGCACCATCACCACCAAAGAGCTGGGCACAGTGATGCGGTCGCTGGGGCAGAACCCCACGGAGGCGGAGCTCCAGGATATGATAAACGAAGTGGATGCTGATGGTGAGTGACCCCTTCACTCCCCCCCATCCTCCACTGAGAGATCTCCTCTGCAGATCAGTCAGAGAGTGCCGGCAGAGTTCTGATGACTAATAGAGGGAGAAAAAAAGCTTCTCTTATTATTTCCTTTATGGTTTACTAAAACAGCAAAACACGAGGCTGAGTACTACACTGAAAAATCCATTTAACTGATTTACAGGTGTACATCCTGTAACATAAATAAAATATATTACGTCATCACAGTCATTGCCAAACATAAATGCAATGATAGTAAATATTCACTTTTTTGGTAATTCATAGTAGATACTAAATAATTCATAGTGGATAGTGAAGAATTAATAATAGTTACTGTGTGATTCACAGTGGTTAAGGAAGAGTTCAGAAAGAAAGAAAGGTTACTGAATCATTTACAACAGACACTGAATAATTTATAGTAGGTACTGAATAATTCATAGCAGATACTTAATTCATAGTAAGTACTAAAGAATTCATAATACATAGTGGATAATTTAAAGTAGATACGGAATAATTTGTAGTAGATACTGAATAATTTATAAAAGATGCTGTATAATTCATAGCAAATACTAAATAATTCATAGTAGCCGCTGAATAAATTATAGTAGATTCTGTATAATCCATAGCAGATTCTCAATAATTCATACTAGATATTACATCATTTATAATAGATACTGAATAATGTTACTGAACAAGTATTAGTAGTTACCGAATAGTTAATAATAGATAGTAAATAATTCATAGTAGATACTGAATAATTCATAACAGATGATGTCACAGCCACAAAAAGCGTAAACATGAACATGTAAGTACATCCTGTTTGTAAATCAGTAACTGTAAGCAAAGATACTTGATCTCTTCCATTGAGTCAGTCAAATGAATCTGGCTAAACTGAAAGGACATAAAATTACAAGTGAGACAGAAAAATTACAAGAACACAGCAAAACATTTACATTCTAGTTTTCTTTTCTGCAAAACAAGACTGTAAACTTTTCATCAAAGTCATTTCAAAATAAAATATCTTCTACTTGCAAACACTAATGTGGTCTGAGATCGGAAGTTTAGAATCTCCACTTTCCACATAATTTCTGTACTTATCTTAATGAGCTATGAGTCTGATTTTGTGGTCACAGTCATTACTGCGAGAGTTCAGTCAGGACGGTTGGAAGTGATGTGGGGCTGTCAGACTGCTGTCAGGACCTTTCTGGTTGAGTTTTGGAAAGGTTATCAGAGACAGCCGTGTTGCTGAGCACTCTGCGAGTGGCTATCAGTGGACAAAGGACAGAATGTTCTAGTAAACTCAGCTGCAGATGCCTGGCTTATAAACAGACAACAGAACTGAACTAACTGAACAAAAGGCAGGAGTCCTCAGTGGAGCTGCACAATCCTCTGTTTGTTAAAGGTTTATTGTCATGTTGGCTTTTGAAATACTGATGCTGCAATATGCAAATGAACCTCCCTTTGTTACTTTTTGCTGTGAGCATGCTGACCAATCCCAGATCCAGATACCTTTCTTTACAAAAGTGAATTATTTTGGTCAAAATTAAATAATGCAGGCCAGTCTTTCACCATGTCCAGTTTAGGCCTGGGCCTTTAAAAATATTAAAGGTGCAGTGTGTCAGATTTAGGGGGATCTCTTTGCAGAAATGGAATATAGTAAACAAAACCATGTTTTAATGAAGGTATTATCAGCTGTAACTACAAATCGTTATGTTGTCGTTAGCTTACAATGAGCCCTTCATATCTACGTAGGGAAAGGCTCCTCTTCCAACAGAGGCTGCCATGTTGCGCCGCCATGTTTCTACAGTAGCCCAAAACCAACAAACCAAACACTGACTCTAGAGGGCATCTTTTATGTTTTTACGCTGAAAAGGCAGCTTGAATTTGGTGGCGCTGTAGCTCCACTTGGAAGATGTAGCAAAGAAGAAGAAGTGGTCGCTGCCAGTGCTGGATGAGCATTTTGTGTTGTGAGAAGTTTGAGAACCCAAATTTTGACAAATGCAGGATCAGACTTATTATTTGGCACAAGAAAAAGTGAGGGAGGGTGAATCTTCACCGTCAAAGAAGAGGAAACATAAAGAAGCAAAATAAATTCGGGACAGACGACGGCAGAAAACCTGACAGTCACCGTAGGCTCACTACACGCTTGGAAAGGGAGGAGTGGGGGAGGGGGATTCAGTTAGTTGTGGTCTGCAACCTTACCACTAGATGACACTAAATCTTACACACTGCACCTTTGAAATTAGAAATAATTAACACAATGTTTTCTAATAATCGTGATTATGAATTATATCACCCAAAACATGTAATTTAACTAGGGGTTTTCAAAATTTTGCATATGATTGTATGTAAATGAACTCTGTTCTGATTGGCTGGACCATATTATGCCTCATTCAAAAGTCTGTACTCTAAACACTCAGTATAACTGCACTGTAAATGGGCAGGGCTGAACTGCTATAGGCTGAATTGGGTCAGTGTATTTATGACATCCCAAAACAGTGATTTCAAAACGGTCTGTTTTCGCTACATGGTTATCATATATGAACTGAGGAGTGAGTAATATGTTTAGAAATTTGTGTAGATAGTGTTTGTTGTGAAAAATGGGAGGGAAATTTGGTTTTCCGTGACATGGACCCCTTAATAAATTGTAAGGCGCATCACAATCACAATATGTAACAATATAATCATCAGTACTCGTATGTTCTCCATATCTAGTATACCATAACTGAGGTTGGATGCTTAAAGGCAGTCAGAGTCACTGGAGCTGGTTCTTATGCTCCTGTTTTTGGCTTACTGTCCCTCTAGATATCACATTACACAGCCAGGCTGGATTAGTATTGTGTAGTGAAGCTGCTCGATGACGAGACGCAGAAGTTTTTGAGCCGTGTCTATTGGTCCTGAGTGATCGCTAAATCAGTAAATTGTCCGTGAGATGGCTGTGTCCGATCGCCCCCGTGTGCCGTGCTGCTCTCTCGCTGATGTTATCTAGGTCAGACGCCAATAAGGCGAGTAATAGGAAATAAAAGTGATTGCGTAATCCACTCTGCGCACTTCGCATACGTGGCGCCCACGCGCTGCTTGGATGGACGGAGTTGCTGGGATACTGGGGACAAGCTTATTTAGGGAATTGACAGTGGCGATGCGGCCTGGAAGTGACACTCTCTCCATAAGTGTGATGACAGCATATCGTCCAGGGACATCTATAGGGCAGATCTGAGGAACGGCTCGTTTTCTTTTCTTCCTAGTCTTGCTGTCTATTCTGTTCTAGATTTTAGGGTTTCGGTACGATGATATGTTAACATTACAATTATAAATTATGTCATGATACGCTTAGGAACAGAGGGATATGGAAGTTCTATAGCAAAGCATTGGCCAATAGAATGGGATGCTCTGCAGCAGCCGCACATGACCCTAAGGTCACCATGCTTAATACCAAGTGTGGGCTAGAGGGGTATAAAGCCCCCAGCATTGGGCTGTGAAGCAGTGGAATTGCATTCTTTGGAGTGATGGAGCTCCATCCAGTACCTTTGGGATGAGTTGGAGTGATCCAGAACTGATCATCCAACATCAGTACCTGACCTCACTAATGCTCAATAAGATCCTCACAGCAATGTTCCAACATCTAGTGTAATGCCTTCCCATAGGAATAGAAGCTGTTAGTGCAGCAAAGAGGGACAAACTCCCTATTAATACCCTTCATTTGAGAAGAAAAGCTGGGTTCTACAAACTTTTGGAGATATTCTGCCTGCATTAGCATTATGTTGAAATATTTCTGTTTGTGGAGAGTTAGAAATTCAATACAATGCAGACATTTTAGCACAATATTAACAAAATAAAATATGATTCCAGTTTCATTATACATTCCTTCACTGTCGGAAAAAAAGTGCTGTACAGGTGCGTTTTTGTTCATCAAAGTACAATGGAAATATACCCTTAAATGTACAGCAATGGTCCTGAGGTCCCAGCTGTGCACCTTAAATGAATTTTAAATGTACTCTACAATGTCTCAAAGTGAAAGAGGTTTATTTTTACCTTTTTCATAAACTAACATTGAAAAATAGAAAAATAAACTAAAAAGCAGGATGTATGGAGTCAATGTAGCTAAATGAATGTAATTGCAGTTGTGGTACAAATGTGTTCCCTAACTAAACGTATTGAAGATGTTCTCTTGGAGGTACCACCCTAGTGACACTTAAAAAACTTATGGTCTATGGTCAGTACTTTTACTTTTGCCTGTAACGTAGCAATTGCAACCAGCTGTTAAAAAAATAACAGCTGCAACTTTATTACGAGTAACAAGTCTGCCCGAGAAATTATATCAACATACGACTCAAGCAAGCAACATTGACGAAAACAAAACTCTCATGTTAATCAGCAAAGCCTTTCACACCAGAACTGAGTGTCAGAGCTCCGTTTTTGACAAACATCCTAGTTCTATTTTTGACACGTCGCATTGTGCCGATGTTCCATTTTAAATACTGCAGTTAAGCTCACTGCCTTTTTTAATAGCCTGCCGCAAGTTTCAGTTAGTGATTCAGTGTTTTCAAGAGCTGCTGATATTGCTTATCAATGTGTTACAGTACATAAAATGTGTAGCTAGTTCTTTCAAGCTATTAGCATCATCATTCATATACATAGGTTACACTATACCGTAAGATATTGGCCTTTCACGATGTAGCACTCCCTCTTGTGAAATACTGCATAAGCAGTAAGTAACTGATTAGATGGCAGCGCATTGACATCATCTTATTTTATCATCCTAATTTTAACAGTTGTTTGATTTTTGCAAATGCTGAAATAAACAAACTCATGTTTTTTTCATTTTTCTTAAAATGTGGCTGTACTGCTCTGCTGGTGCATCTTTTTTGTTTCATGTGGTTCAAAACCTCAGAAAAACTACATACGTTTGTCATGAAAATGCCTTCAAGTATTGTGATGTTATATTTTTGCCATGTTGTCCACCCTCAGTGCAGCCACAGTGGTGATCCTGAAGATAGTGCGCATCTTCCATAAAGCCTCTATTGGAATGCCTACATTGTTGTGTACTGTAATTGTCTTTTCTTTTTTTCAGTGGCCATCATTTTGTGTTTGGCCTTGAGCTCTGTTACTATATTAGATTACAGGCCATTAGATCCACCCCCCAGAGCCATTCGACTGCCATCTGCTCCAGCTCAAAAGCATCATGACTTTTAGACAGGAGGCCCTCTAGCAGCAAAGCTTTCACAGCAGCAGTCAGTAACTGTGCACTGTATATAAGTATATATTATATTATAAAAATAAATGGGAAAATTGAATTGTTGTACCAGTAATTTGGCAACACGCCTAACATTACATTCACCTGCCAGGAGCATCTCCTAAATAATGTAGGATATTTACTCGAAATAATGCAAACATTACGTCTGATTAGCTATGGCATGTAAAAGCCATCTTCAGAGTCCTACGCTCACTGCACTTCGTCTATGAATTGTAGTGTAAATTTGTTTTAAAATGCAATAAAATGATCAGTTATTGGTGTCAGTAACTACTAGGGGTGTAACAATACGCCAAATTCAGTTTTCAGGCACCATAGAGCTTGTGTCTTGGAGTTTCTTACATGTTTAGTGCAAAGATGAAAGCATGGAAAGATTACTGCTGTCGAATAAAGGCTAACACATACCAGAGTAGCCCAGTATCAGATAGTACAGAGAGCAGCTACAGCACAAACAAGCTTAAGCTCATTTTACACTCATGCATTTAATGGAATAAAACTTTCAATATCAATTACTGAATTTATCATGTTTGGTATTCATGATCCAGTAACGTTAGCTGATCAAACAAACAATTGAACTTTCTTGGGATAAAAGCTCACCTGTTCAATACACGTTACCTTTTATGGATTTGTGGTATGGGATTAATGCAGTACAGTAAGAGTAATATGCTGAGTGGCGTCACTGTTTTTAGTGGGGTCTGTTTCACACGTTCAGTGTGTGGTAGTCCATTTGGTAGTCCAAATTTGTCAAATGATACCTTACAAACTCACATATGCAATTTGTCTGAAATGCCCATCCCTAGTTCAGTTATGGTTCACACAGACATATTGAACACTAGGCTTGTGAGAATTTGTGCAAAATACTATCATCAGATCACAACCCTTATCCATCGGCCGTTGACGATACTGACGTTAGGTTAGAGGTGAGAGGCAAGCAGGAGTCACTTTCCTGTATGGTTTGGTAGTTTTAGTATTGTTTGGTATTGTTTGGTGTGCATTGATAGTTTTTGGTATAGATTGGTAGTTTTTGGTGTGAATTGGTAGGGTTTGGTATGGTTTAGTAGTGATTGGTAGGGTTTGGTAGTGTTTGGTATGGATTAGTAGGGTTTGGTATGGTTTGGTAGTTTTGGTATGAATAGGTAGTTTTTGTTATGAATTGGTAGGGTTTGGTATGGTTTAGTAGTGACTGCTAAAGTTGGTAGTTTTTGGTATGGCTTGGTAGTTTTTGGTATGGCTTGGTAGTTTTGATATAGTTTGGTAGTTTTCGGTATAGATCGGTAGTTTTGGGGTATAGTTTGGTCGGGTTTGGTAGTTTTTGGTTTGGATTAGTAGTTTTTGATATGTTTTTATAATGTGTAGTGTTTGGCCATTTTTGCTATGATTTGGTAATTTTTGCTATGGTTTGGTAGTTTTTTGTTTGATTTGGTGATGTTTGGTATGGATTGGTAGTTTTTGTCAGGTTTGATAGTTTTTTGGTATAATTTGGTAGTTTTTGGTACGGTTTGGTAGTCTTTGGTATGGATTGGTAGTTTGTAGAGAGTTACAAATTCAAGTTTAATACAATGCAGACATGTTAGCACAATAACCCAGTTCACCAAATAATGGTTTGAATGCTGGTGCATTTTTTAATAAAACAAAATATGATTTCAGTTTCATTATACATTCCTTCACTGTCAGAAAAAAAAGGACTGTACAGGTGCATTTTTGTTCATCAAAGTACAATGGAAATATACCCTTAAATGTACAGCAGTGGTCCTGAGGTCCCAGCTGTGCACCTTAAATGAATTTTAAATATTCTCTACACCCAATGTCTCAAAGTGAAAGAGGTTTATTTTTAAAAATAGAAAAATAAACTAAAAAGCAGGATGTATGGAGTCAATGCAACTTAATGAATGTAATTGCAGTTGTGGTACAAATGTGTTCCCTAACTAAACGTATTGAAGAAGTTCTCTTAAAGGTACCACCCTAGTGACGCTTAAAAAACTTATGGTCTATGGTCAGTACTTTTACTTTTGCCTGTAACATAGCAATTGCAACCAGCTGTTAAAAAAATAACAGCCACAACTTTATTACGAGTAACAAGTCTGCCCGAGAAATTATATCAACATGCGACTCAAGCAAGCAACATTGACGAAAACAAAACTCTCATGTTAATCAGCAAAGCCTTTCACGCCAGAACTGAGTGTCAGAGCTCCGTTTTTGACAAACATCCTAGTTCTATTTTTGACACGTCGCATTGTGCTGATGTTCCATTTTAAATACTGCAGTTAAGCTCACTGCCTTTTTTAATAGCCTGCCGCAAGTTTCAGTTAGTGATTCAGTGTTTTCAAGAGCTGCTGATATTGCTTATCAATGTGTTACAGTACATAAAATGTGTAGCTAGTTCTTTCAAGCTATTAGCATCATCATTCATATACATAGGTTACACTATACCGTAAGATATTGGCCTTTCACGATGTAGCACTCCCTCTTGTGAAATACTGCATAAGCAGTAAGTAACTGATTGGATGGCAGCGCATTGACGTCATCTTATTTTATCATCCTAATTTTAACAGTTGTTAGATTGTTGAGTATGGTTTGGTAGTTTTTGGTATGGGTTGATAGTTTTTAATATGGTTTGGTAATGTTTGGTAGTTTTTGGTATGTCACTCGTCGGTAAGGAGTATTGAGCAGTCTTCTGTTTCACTCTCCTCCAACAGCCAGCATCATTCATCACAGTGCTTCTACAGATCACCATCTCTCTTTAATCTGGAGTGTCTTGCGGTGTTATTGATCTGCTTCTGTGGATTTCCACCTCTCTGTACACTCACCCCTTTGATGGCTTGATTGTCAGTGTGGAAAAAGCGCATGCTTGGCCGGTTTATGATGCTCTGTGGAGGGCAGAGTTTGCATAATGCAAAAGTCAGGGTTATCCTTAGCTTTACCGCAGCTCCTATCAAGAATTTCCTCAAACTAAGAGGGAAAGCACATCAGCCAAGACATATGCGTTTTCAGGGTTAGTACTGGCTAGGGGTTGGTTATTTGGCAAAAATGTAACTTCATATTTTCTCAATACATATCACAATATTTGGAACAGACAAAATTGACCAGCAAAACAGCCGTGCCGCATTTTACAACTATGAAAAATGCATAGATTTTAATACCTAAGCAATCACCTGTTATACCTCAACAAGGGCCTAGCAACACCTTAGCAACCACCTAGTATACCATAGCAATTAGCAACCTGGAATACCGTAACAGCCAAACAATGAAATTAACACTTCCAGCTTTAAATAAACCAAAAACATATACACAAAGTATATGCAATTAAGTTGAAAAACAGTCTATGAGTGTTTTAACTCTTTTTAACTTCCCCAATGCAAAGACCATGCAAATTCACAGAGCAAAGTACATAAAAATCTTGCTCTGTCGCATCGCTCACTACAGAGTACCAGACTGCCTCTGCAAGTAACATCAGCACAAGAACTGTGCGTCAGGAGCTTCATGAAATGGGTCTCCATGGACAAGCAGCTGCAGACAAGCCTAAGATCATCATGCACAATGCCAAGCGTCGGCTGGAGTGGTGTAAAGTACGCCTTCTGGACTCGGGGTAAACATGTTCTCTGGAGTGATGAATCATGCTTTGCTATCTGGCAGTCTGATGGATGAATCTGGGTTTGGTGGATGTCAGGAGACGCTACCTACTGGAATGTATAGTGCCATCAGTAAAGTTTGGTGGAGGAGGGATAATGGGCTGGGGCTGTTTTTCATGGTTTGGATCCCTTAGTTCCAGTGAAGGGTGGTGTTGATGCTTCAGCACACAAAGACATTTTACACAATTATATGCTTCCAGCTTTGTGTCAGCAGTTTGGGGAAGAGCCTTTCCTGTTCCAGCATGACTGAGCCCCTGTGCACAAAGTGAGCTCTATAAAGACATGGTTTGGTGTGTTTGGTGTGGAGGAACTCCAGTGGCCTGCACAGAGCCCTGACCTCAACCCCACTGAACACCTTTGGGATGAACTGGAATGTCAATTGTGAGCCAGTCCCTCTTATCCAACATCAGTGCCTGACCTCACACATGCTGTTTTGACTGAATCTGTACAGCTTAATAAAACTTGTACTTCACACCTCTGACATATTTTGACCTGTCCAGTAAGGCTGAGGGCAGGATATTAAGCCAGAAGCACATTTTGGTCATGGTTGTGGTCATGGATGGGCCAATCAGTCGACCCCTGGTTAAATTGTTGATTATCGTGTCGGCTACAGAAATTTGTGCATCTGTACTTTTTATCAGTTGAAAAACTCCCAGACATATCACATTTTAGGTTTTACATTCACCTACATTGTTGATGACTGACCTTTTCATATTTACTGCATCCTCTCAGGCAATGGAACCATAGACTTCCCAGAGTTCCTGACCATGATGGCCAGAAAGATGAAGGACACGGACAGTGAGGAGGAGATCCGTGAGGCCTTCCGGGTATTCGACAAGGTTCGTCCAGTCACTTTTATCCACTTCACTATAGACCTTTGGCCAGAGCCAGGCTAAGCTGTAGCTAGGGCTCAGAGGGATTTAAGCCAGTTTAGTGCTCACCGGCTCCCAAGAGCAGCCAGGTTTGGTCTGCCCGAGTTTAATGTTTGGATTGAGCTAAACTGATAGCGAACAACTACAAGACATTAATAAGCCAACCTCGGGGTGTACAGGTTCACAAAATTCATAATTTGGTTCAATATGATATGGTGGTCTTAATTCTGTACATATTGTTAATGAGACCCAGAAAATATAGAGGTAATATGTTAATGTTTCCATTTCAGTTTATTATAGCAATCAACATTATTAAAATATAATATCTGAGACTAGGGTTTCCACCTTGGCCCTGTGAAATTCCTGGACACTTGATCAGTGGCTTGCGTTTTGTTTAGCAGGCAGATAGTGCCTAAACATGTCACCAGCAGTTCACTTTTCCCAAACAAATTTCCCTACATTGAGGGTAACCTGACCCAATCCGTGTATGCAAATGGTTTGACTTGATACAGATAAGCACCTTTAACTCCATGGTTGGATTCCTGGACATTCTGTGGCCAGAAAAGGAAATATTTTTGTCCTGGACAGGCAACCAAAAACCTGGACAATCCAGGGAAATCCTGGACAGGTGGCAACCCTATTTGAGACTTTGGAACAATGGAGCACAGACTTGGCAGCACAGACTTATCTTAGCAGCACACACTTGTCACTGCAGCCCTGAGCTAACACGCTAGCCCTGAGCGAATATATTAGCTAATGAACCAGCCCCAAGATAACACACTAGCCACAAGCTAACACGCGTGCTATATTGCCTGATCTTGTGAGTTGTATCTACATGATTTAGATGTGTATATAATATCTATGAGAATAAAGCATATTACGTTCACACAGTTCTACCAAAGATAAATAAACAGAACAATGAAATTGTGTTGATGTAACATGTTTTATTAATGAGGAAATAATGTACACATTCAATTAATTTGGTGAAAATGTCACTGCAAACACAAGCTAATGTGCTAGGCCTCTGTTAACACACTAGCCACTAGCCTCATATGTTAACGAATTAGTCCTGAGCTAACACCCACAGCCACAAGCTAACACATTTGCTACAAGGTAATATACACTTACGAGAAGTGCGTTGTATTCGATCAAATTCAGTGTCTGAGGAGGGATAATCAGCCTTGATTGTGGGTTTGTTCATTTTTTATGCCTCAGGCAATATAACCAGTTTTAAAATTAGTTGTCTGCTGGGGTCTATTGGATGTATTTTTCGATGCCCTGTGTGTACTGAATCAAGAGCCTCGACTGTACTGTGCAATATTTTGTATTATTTTACCTTTACCAAATAATGTACTATATAGGATGTCAGATATGTTTGTCCTTTTCTAGGTCCACTTTTGTAGCCATGTCTTTATCAATGGACACTTTTATCAACTGAATCGCTCGTCTTTATTGACTAAACCAGATCATTCGTCTTTTGATGGTGAATCAGTTGTCTTTATTGATAAAACTGGGACACACAGTTTTAGTGATGGAACTAGATCACTCAACTTTGAGGATGGATCACCCGTTTTTATTGATGATGAAACTGGATCACACAACTTTGTTGATGATGAAACTAGACGACTCATCATTACTGATGATGGATCACTTCTCTTTATCAGTGATGGAACAGGATCGCTTATCTTTATTGATGGAACTCAAACACTTGTCTTTATTGTTGATGAAACTAGATCACCAGTTTTTATGGATGGTTGATCGCTCATTGTTAATGATATTGGCACTGGATCACGTATTTGTCAGTATGGAACTAGATAACTCATCTTTGTTGATGATAGAATTACATCACTAATTTTTATTGATGGTGGATCACTCATCTTTATTGACAATGGATCACTATTTTTTAATGATGGAACTGGATCACTCCTCTTTATTGATGGTGGATCACTCATTTTTATTGATAATGGGTCACTCATTTTTATAATGATGAAACAGAATCACTCATCTTTATTGATAAAGGGTCACTAATTTTTATAATGATGGAACTGGATCACTCATCTTTATTGATGGTGTATCACTCTTCTTTACTGATAATGGGTCACTAATTTTTATAATGATGGACCTGGTTCACTCATCTTAATTGATGATGGATCACTCATCTTCACTGACAATGGATCACTCATCTTTCATGATGATGGAACTGGCTCACCTATCTTTATTGATGATGAATCACGCATCTTTATTGATTATGTAACTAGATCACTCATTTTTATTGATTATGTAATTAGATCACTCATTTTTATTGATGATTGAATTAGATCACTCTTCTTAAATGATGATGGAACTGAATCACTCCTCTTTATCGATGATGATCAGCATGGATCAACCGAACCATCTCGGATAATCTCAAAAGCGTCAAAAACTCACTTAACTTTGCATGCAGTATGCAGAATAATGACGACGATTATTTAGTTTTTCAAAACAAGTTTTTCCAAAGCAAGAAATGTTCTAGACAAATCAGATACCCAGCTTGACCCCCACTGAGCAGGATTTAACTTACTGAAGATGAATCTCGGAAAGGAAAATGGCTCCATTACAGGAGGTCACCTGTAAAGACATTTACTATGTAGTTTAAAGTATAGTAAATACTTTAACCACATAATCACTGATTATTTTCATTTTTCTCTCTCTCTCCCCCTCTCTCTCCAATCTGTAGGATGGAAATGGCTATATCAGCGCTGCAGAGTTGCGCCACGTTATGACGAACCTCGGGGAGAAGCTCACAGATGAGGAAGTGGACGAGATGATTAGAGAAGCGGACATCGATGGGGACGGTCAGGTGAACTACGAAGGTACAGAAACTCAGCACCATCTAAAAGACTTATACATGTTACATATCAGATATTATATACATATATAATATACAATATCTACCAAAATGGACTCTTTAAAACACAGACACAGAGGACACTTTTGGTAACTCTGAGTCGTTAATTAGATGAATATGAAAGCCGTTTGGTAATGAACACTAATTACTGAGCAAACTCTGCCATCACTCTTTCATTAAAGAAATTAATAAACCATTTAACAATTTAGCAGCTGGATGCACCGTTCAGACGCAACTAATCACTCTCGCTCTCTCTCCCCACTCTGTATCTTCCCCTTCTCTTTTTCTCTCCTTTCTCTCCATTTCTCTTTTCTCCATTTCTCTTTCTTTCTGTTCCTCTCTCCCCCTTTTTCTCTCACTCTCCTCCTTCTCCCTCTGTGTCTCTCTTCTCTTTTCCCTTCACTTTTTTCTTTCTCTCTCCTCTCACTCTCTCTTTCTTTCTCTCTCCAGAATTTGTACAGATGATGACCGCAAAGTGAAGCTTCCTGTCCTCTCCTGCCCCCTTAGAAGAAAACAAAAAAATCAAATGTTTTATTTACCTCTTGGGGAAAAAGAACATACATTTACTCATAATGTTTCTGTACAGAAAATAATTGAATGTTGAAATAAAAATATCCTTCTGTCCACAGAGATTAAAAAAGAAATCAGATATTCTGCATGAAATGGTTAGTGATCCTGTCCCTTACAGATCAATCTAGCATCAGTTATTAAAGAGTTAAATAACCTGTAACTACCTACAAACGGAAGAAAACAAGCATTTGGTGAACTCCTTCAGTTCCATTTGCTCTTGTTACTGTTTGGGCTGGCCATCTTTTCTCTCTTCTCTGTTTTTCTGTTCTTCATGCATGCAGTCTGAGACTGGAGCTCCTTCCTCTGCCGGTCTGAGCGTGCTCTTTCCACTGAAGTGTCGTAATGCCCGTTGGTTCTGTTTTTTGTATTTTTGAAAGGAACCTGGAACAAAAGCAGGTTCTGATACAAGCAGAAGGTGGAATGGGACTTTTATTGTATGGCGGGGATAGAAAAAATAATAAATAAAAACGAAAAAAAAATACAAAAATTACAAAAATCTTAAACGTTTGGCATGGTTTAGGTTTCTAGTGATTTTGTTTGTTTATTTCAGTTCTTTGTGTTTTTATTTTTCCCTCGGATGGCGGTCTCCTGCGTGGGCCGTCCCTATCTGGAGGAGATAAGGTGTGATAAGAGTGCGTTATGGTGGTTTCTGAAGTCTGGAGAAGCGAGGGATGGGGGGGGGGTCTTTCTCTCTCTCTCTGTTTATCTTTCTGACCGGTGATGGCATTTTGTGGACTTGAGTCTCAGCTCGAGTCTTCACTGTTAATCTGAGTTCAGTTTACATTCATTCCAAGTTGTACATGCTACTCGTAATTTTTTTTTTTTTTTCAAATAAAAAATGACCATGAACTTCAGAATTCTGCATCTTGTTTATTTGGGACTGAAGAGCTGATTCCAGTAAATACAAGCGTTGAGATAAAGACTGCAGTTCATTTAGTAAATGAAATGAATGTGAATAATATCAAAGCAATATATATATAAAGCACCACCTACACGTCTTTTGAGTTTTATATGGAATGTTGATGGTAAAATAGAAAATCTGAAAATAATAAGTTTTCTTTCTCTCACAACGCCCTACATGTATCCACCATAAATGGATTTTAAGGCCAAAATCTTTTCAAAACTATCATCTGTGAGGGAGCTTTTAGAGGAGGACGTCTGGTTCCTACATATATATATATATATATATATATATGTGTGTGTATGTATGTATAGACATACTCTTATGCTCTCATAAAGGTTATACTTTGCAAAAGAAATTCCACAATATTACCCCAGTGTAGTCGATCAGCCAAGTTTGGTGCCACGAGACTAATGTAGCTAACAAGTAATGGAAGCTTGTAGCTGCTAGGTTAGCATCTACACACATTGTGGAGGTGTTCAGTGTTTCTAATAGACTTATGTTGTTTTTGACACTGTATGGTTCACTGTTATCTAGACACATGGAGTAAAGTACGTTAGCTAGCTAAACACAGTAGCAGCCACCTTGAAACCTGAATTAGTCCGTATTTGTAGGTCTATAGACAGCCCAGATAGTTAGAGGATAGACGGCAACTGTTGGCCACTCCATTTCTTTCTTTCATTATCCTATGTAAATTAGTAAATAATTTTAACAGCAATATCATAAATAAAGCCGTGACCAATCTAGCACAGAGTCAGCAACATTTTCAACTAAATCATTTTATATCAGGCCTAGTCATTCGTATTTTTCTCTGTTATTTGTAATAATTGTCTTTGTTTATTTTCTAAAAATAAAGGGCTAAAAATCTGAGAAAATTAAAAATAGTTACACTTTGTATGTAGGACAATAGTCAGGGTGGTCCGAGGGTGGACCAACAGTTGCATACAGTGGGTTGCCAACCTTATCAAGCCAGCGGGCCAGTATATGCTCACTGTCTGAGACCGTGCATCATACAATGTCAAACCTCAAAATCAAGTCTATCACAAATTGCTGAACAACTCCACACGGTTTAAGGCAATGATTTGTGCATGCAGTTAGCTACGTTGCTAATTGGCGATGCATAACCTCTCTTTAATTGTTAGCCACATTAGCCTCATAGCTCTGGTGCTAAAACTAAAGAAACGTCAGACACCAAACATGTCTTGGCTGACTGACTGGCTACATTTGGGATACGTTTTTTCTTTTGGCCAAACGATGGTGTCAAGCAAGCTATTAGCCAGCAAATCTGTGATCTACGAGTCTCCCAGGTGTTCCAGCTTTAGATATGGATATGGTCCTGTACCAGGAAATGGCCCGTGTGATTCGGTCTGGTTCGAGAGGCAGACGGGTTCCCGCTTTGGCCACTCGAGCTGCTCAGGGCTCAATTAAACTCGTCAATGTTTGATGAGAAAATGAAGCTGCAGTGTTGGTAAGAGGAGAGGGTTTATCCCCCAGGAGCCAGGTGAGACTAATACCATCTCACATAACGCAGGAGCCCAACACGTGCGTCAGCACACATTTCTGTACATGTGCACATACAGTCGTACACAAAGGTTTGGGCGCCCCAGATCAAATGCCCTGTTTTGTTGATTTTCTAAGCAAAAATAAGTCATAAAACTTATTTTCACAAGACACACTGGCACATTTCCAGTACTTTTGATTTAGCAAATCCACAATATATTTGATAAAATGTGAATTATAAGCAGTGTGTGCATAACATGTTGGCTGGTACACAGTGACTTTCTACATGAGATTTCATTTTCTACTGAACGTCACTGGATCCTCTAAATGACGAGTAGGCAGGCTTTGTCACCACCAGCCACAGGAACCCACCCCCCCATACACACAAACAGCCCGCACCTCAGGTACAAAGTAACACAGATACACACTATAGACTTATAAACAACGACATAAAAACAATAGGTACCTTTTTCGGAGGGTGCGCACCTTCCATGAGGCTCCATGTGTGGCCTGTCACATGGCCACACCTCCTGAGCTCCTCGGAGCCAGAGCCAGCCATTAGCAGGTCGCTATAGTATACAACGGGGCCTGTTTATACCTTGCATTGACATGCGTGATCAGATCAGTGATCAGATCTTGTTTGTATTTCACATGACCGCATGAAAAGATGGGTGTAAACACCTGCCGGGGTGCTCTGTGAGCAGAATACAATCAGATCACTCAAACCACATTCAGAGATCTTGACCACATTTAACTCAAGTGTAAACGGAATGTGTTTGTTATCTGTATACAATCACAAGAGATGAAATGTGTCCGCCGCTGATTAGCAGGTAATAAACAAAGCGAAAGACAGAGGATACGCGAGGCTAAAGTTCTCCAAACTAAGAGCCCTCACGCACTCCAGGCCAAGCTTATTCACTATTATAGCAAACAAATGTAAACAACGTATGTGCTGATGTGCTTTTTTACATGGGAAAGTACGATCGGATCTCATCTGGTCACATTGGGGACACATTTTAGTGAAAAGTGTAAATGGAATATAGTCAAAGTTTATCCAGATACGATCTGAACATGAATGTTAAAGTGAAGTGTAAACAGGCTCACAGTGTTAAAGTTTAATAGTGGATCTACTTTCATGTTATGTCATTTCAGTTTGCAACAATGTTTGCTTGCTTGTAGCATTTTGTAGCATTATTTATAGTTTGACTGCTGAACCATCTCTTAATTCAGAAGATCTGGTGACATTATGTGGAAACGTATGTAGGACACAACTCAGATTTTGAACCTTTTTTTGTACCATGGGATGTGACAGATGGAAAATCCCATTTATTTTTCCCAGCTTAGACCCCAAGTTACTAATATGGATATAACGCGAGTACGGAATGACATACGACTTCAGAGGTCTTTTGGTGTAAGCAAAATTCAGCCACTTCCGATAATGCATCCCTATTGATTTCAGCTCCTTGTGTTTAGTGTAGAGACTTTATCATTGCTGTATTATTTCTGATTGGGTGTTTGCTTGGCTACGTTTTAAAAGAGGGTCACCCTCAACGTACATAAAATAAAGGTTGAAATAAAGGTTGACTGATTAGCCCAGTTTGAAACGCTAGACGTTATTAGGCTGAATGTGACTTGCTCTGAACGACAAGTGTGGTTGTGCAATAAAAACCCAGTCTTGCCTTTAAAGCAGCTGCGGGGTGGGGGTGGGGTGGTGTAGTAACCTGAGAGGGACACACCCGCTGTGGATGCACACACTGTCCGGCATGTGAGGTATGAGAACACAACACACTACTGTCTCTCACTGAACACACGACACACACTGCTTTACATCTCACATTTCACAGTAGAGTCCAATACAATAAACACCAAAAAAGCTCATATATATATATATATATATATATATATGAGATATATAAAATAATTTTACATTCACTTTTATTTCAAGTTAAGAATGTTTTTTCATTCTCCTATAAAGTTCACCATTTTTGAGAGTTTAAACAAGATTTGTGACTTTGTACTGATCTTGGACTTTAGACTAAAATCCTTTTGCTTCTTAGAGTGACCCTATACCTTAATTGTTTGTTTTATTAAAACTAGTGATTAATCATTCCATTTTGTCACTGCCAAAACTTTACCAAATATTTCAGTTGTGTTTGCTTCAGTAGTTTTAGCTCATTTTGAGAACTCAAAAACGCAGCCAGTACACGACTAGCAAACACAGCTTTGAACAGCTGTACACACATAAAATCATCATATTTTTATAAAACCACAAAAAAGTTTACTTAACTTCAGAAAATCTGTGTTTCAGTAGTGACAATTTTTAATGTTCCACACTGATTTTCAGATTTTGGGACACATTTACACTAATTTTGGGAACTAACTGCTCACCATGTGGCCATGAGGGACAGGGATGCAGCTTCACTCCTTGTTCTAAAATGCAGGGGCATGGCTAAAATAAGGCTCCGCCTACAGAGTAAAACTCTTTGTGTTTCACTAGTGACATGAAAATGTAGGACAGCAATTTCTTAATAATTTTTTTTTTTTTATTTAAAAATTAAACTCAGGCCCAATCCCAT